ATTTGTTTTTTGACGACTTCATAAAGGGTTATCTTTTTTTTAGGGTATTTAAACTATTTATTTGGGCTATGGATTATAAAAAATTATTTTTATTGTTTGTTTGATTTTTAAAAATTATTCAATGCAAAAATTTGATGATGTCGGCAAAAAAAACCGTTAACTCATGTCTATTGTTTAATAGCCTTTAATTATTTAGAAACTTTATAATGTGCAGTTTCTCATGGAGGCACAAAGGGCATGGGTCATCCCAAGTTTACAAGTTCTAGTCCTGTATATAATTTTCCATTTTATTTTAGGTGTCCTATTTATTTCCTTCAGATGCCAAAATATTTAGATAGATAAGTATATATATATCTTTTATTTATATATTAGGGTTGAAAGAGCACTTATGATATATACTATATTATATATTGTAGGACAGGCATATTGACCTTTCGACTATGTATAAAAATATATATGCTATTGGCATATATAATGATTTTAAAAGCCTAAGATTAATTTAGTTATAAAAAGGTTTTTGATTTCTGATATAGACAGCATATTTAAACAAATGCGTAAAATATTGGACTTTATCATCTAAAAGACTCAAATTGTTTTTTTGCATAAAACTCATTTAAAACGGACGGTACTTCTTGAAAGCTCGTAATGTTCGAAATTGATTTTTTCCAAATGAGTATTGAATCGGGGCTGCATACGAGAATCGATTTCTTATCATCATCATAATTAAGTAATTGACTACTTGAAGTCATAGCGTCGCTGAAAAGATGAGTACCTGACCAGGATTTACCCATCTCTTAATATTTATTAATTTTTCCATATTTTTTTTTTTTTTTTTGTACAAAGTAGACCTGGCGCAGTCCGTCCATCTCCAGCTTCGACCAGACAATAGCCGATGGGCTCCGACTAGAGGAAATCAACAACGGATATTATCATTGGAGAGCTTTTCTTCTTTATGTCTACGCTTTTTTGATCAATTGGTCTTTGAAGTCCCCCTTCTCAATTTTCTTAACCACCCACATATATATATATATATATATATATATATATATATATATATATATATATATGCATTGTTAAAATTGTTGATCACGCTAGATAACACGCCTTTCAGATTTTTAACTAATGTCTGTTCAGAATAGTTGCAGTTTAAACCACTGGTGGGATTTGTAGGTGTTGAATAAACACAAATGCACCTGAACAAGCGTCTGCAATGTGGGATTTTAGCCATCCTAGTAGATCAAAAATCCTTTTTAAGTGTCCAGCTATTATATATATATATATATATATATATATATATATATATATATATATATATATATATATATACAAATGGTAACCCCTAATGATTCAACACATTTCAAATGCATTATGGAAATGATATAGAATAGCAAATATAATAATTCTTTAACTGATTATTCAAGATCTGTGTGTGTGTGTGTTGTGTATGTCCCATAACGATGGGAAATTTTTCTTCATAAAACTCTTATTAGTATTATAAAAACCTACATAGAGCATTTTTGAATATATTTATGGCGTAAAATTATATACAACTATCTAAGATTTTTTTATTTTTTTTCTATCTGATATCTTTTTTCTTTTTTTTATATATATATATATATATATATATATATATATATTATAAACAAATGTTTTCATGTACAAAATTTATATGATAGTAAGGACTCTTCCTAGGAATTTATTGATTTTAATTTTATTAGTCTCTGTCCCCAATTTTTTTTTTTGGCTCTTTATTTTCGTTTCTGTTCTTTTCGTTAATTTCAGCTCATCTCCCAATATGGTTTGCCGAAATTTAAAAAAAAATGTGATTGACACTGTCCGTTGAATTTGTGGGCAGGGAAGGTAAACTTCCTACATGACTTATTTTCAAAATATTCTAACTGTTAAGAAAATATGGGAGATGCTGAATTATAAAAGAGTAAGTTTGAAACTTTAATAATATTAATAATTTTCCTATTGTATTTTTCTAATATGAATTATAAAAGAATAACTTTTAAACATCGGGATCATTTTCATTTTTAGAAAAATTCAATAGAAAAATTATCCCATATTATAAGAATTCTACATATGAACTTTTCTCATTATAATATTATTAATATATGCTGCTGATAATTAGTATATTACTTAATAAGAATAAAAATCGATCTCTCTCACATTAAATTCTTCGCATATATGTCGTTAACTAATTTTTCACCTTATTCTTTTACTCTGTCTTTCATGGAGTTATTCATTTACTTCCTGTTTTTAAAACATTTGTAACCAGTCTACCGTTGTCATAAAAATTCAATGCTACATGCCATTTTGTTTTGTTTATTTGTTTAATGGCTTATTGTTGTGGTAGGATCCACCTAATTTGCATAGTGGAGTACCGACCATATAAATATGGTTGGTACCGGGAAGAGAGGGAGGAATCAAGAGATTCAACCAGAGACTCTGCCCGACTGCGACTAAGTCAACACATTCTCCAGGAACGGTCTTACCAGGAATATACAAAACACTTTCTTGTTTCAATACATTTTGTTCTAAGTACATTTTGTGTTGCATTATTATTCCATGCATTAGTCAAGTTTCAACACTTATCAACTCCTTATGGGTCATTTAATGCCGTAATTATATTTTCTTATGAGATTTTGGTAATTTTTTAAATGTATTTTTGGTAATTTCATATTCCAATAATATAATGCTGGTACATTTTATAAAATTTTTTTTTAATTGTGAAAAATGTGGTGACCTTTTTTTATATATGTAAATCTTTTTGTAACCCATTTTTTAAAAAATTTGTCGGGACCAGATGAAAAATCTCTTATATCCGGGTTTCTCTTATATATCCGGGTTTGGTCTGATTTTATATTTAACACAGGCTCTAATTTGGGACCAGAAAAAAATCTCTTATATCCGGGTTTCTCTTATATCCGGGTCTTTTATATCCGAGTTATACTGTCGCCATTTATATTTTCGCTTAAATGATCCCAGTTTAGGGGTTGAATATTTACCAATAGTTAGGACCCTAACAGGCGTTACCATTTTCTTTTGCAGGCTTTTTGAACGGAATTGTTAACAAAATTTAAGATGTAAGTTTTTCACGCTGTATTAGCACTCACTGAATATTAAACTCGGTATGATGAAGTTAGCCAATATCTGCCCCAGAAAATCTGTAACTTTTACGAGAAAGAAACAGTAAGAAAATGGTATGAACACCATCCAGACCTGGTTAAGGAGATAGGATCTCTGGCAACATTATACGTCTTTACAGTACAGACAGAACAATCAAAGCTAATCGCACAGATATCTTGATTCCAGACCCCAGAAACAAAATGTGCTTTTTTATTGACATGCAAATCTTTGCAGCCTCGAATATATCTTTGAAGATCTTCAAAAAAAAAGAGAAAAAGATTATCAAAATACAAGGATTTTGAAGTGGAAATCTCAAAAGTGTTGCATCTGAGGTCATCAATAATTCCAGTAGTAGTTAGAGCACTCGGATTGATTGGAAAATATTCCAGTAGACACAATATAGGGATTCTAATGATATCCTTCTGAAAAAAATAAAATTATATCCACAAAAATTACATGCCTGTAAATATACGAAACAATTTATCTATATTATCTAAAATAAGTGTGATCTTAGGTTTTATTTCATCGGAAAATGTTCAGGAGAAAAGGTCATGATGCGATTTCAAATAGTTCACTATTTGCCCATAGCTAGAACCCTAACAGGTGCTACCGCCTTGGGATAAGTTGGACCTAGGATGAACAACAGCAATTAAGAGGGGTTTCCATGACCTTCAATCAGAGGCTTTGCTACCGGATGTAGTTGATCGTTATACCCAGAACGAACTGCCATATGGCGTCGCCAGCGCAAGCTAGAAATCTCTGGTACACCAAAAACGTTTTATCTAAATGTAGGTGTAATATTCGCTCTTTTTATAAAATCGGTTTATCAGGAACAAAGCATTTTGTCAGTGTGACAAAATATTCAAATAAGGCATGAGAGTAGAGAGAACATGTCCTAAAAATCAATTTAATAACCATTGAAAATAAAATATTTTTTTGTTAATCAAACATATATATATATATATATATTCTCTATATATATATATATATATATATATATATTCCAATAACTTGGACCGATTTTAAATTGAATTAAACCCATTAAGCTTGATTTTGATATTTTTTTTTCAGATTTGGCTGACATTTGGGCGATATTATTTTTTCACCCATAATTGCCATAACTTAAATAACATGATCCAATAGAGCAAAATAAATAAATTTTCACCAGTAACACTGATTATTTACTGCTGACGGTGATCCGTCTTAATGAAACACCCTTTATATATAATCCGTCTTTTTCTTTTTCACAACAATATATATATATATATATATATATATATATATATATATATATATATAGAGAGAGAGAGAGAGAGAGAGATAGAGAAAGATAGATAGATAGATAGATATACATATATATATATATATATATAGATATTACAAAGTTTATTATCTCTGTCTCTCCCCCTTTTCTCTCTCTCTCTGTTTCTTATAAAGTGTGTTCCAATAACTTGACCCGATTTTAAATGTGAATTAAATTTAAGCGTCTAATGATTTTTTTTTCATTTTTTTCAGATTTGGCGGACATTCGGGCGATATTTTTCACATATAATTGCCATAACTTAAATAACATGATCCAATAGAGCAATAAATAAATTTTCAACAATAACACTGATTTATTTACTGCTGACTTGATCCGTCTTTTAATGAAACATCCTTATATATAATCCGTCTTAATGAACACACTTTTTTAATATATATATATATATATATATATATATATATATATATATATATAAGTGTGTGTCAGAGCGAGTAAATCACAATACTACGCTAATAATTAAACATTTCATTCAACTGGAGCATGTAAATGCCTACTAAAGACGCAAAATTTGTATATTTAACATATATATCTATCTCCCAAGATCATGTTCTTGAATCAGTCTATCTATCTGAATATATCAGCATATTTATCTACGTCAATTAGTTTACCCACCAGTGGCCACTATCTGATTCTATTCCCTTGCATCTAAGTACCTCTATCATATGCCTATCGGTCTATCTATCTCAATAAAACCACATATATTGACTTGCCTCTCTTCGTCTCTTTGCCAGTCTATCTAAGTCTATTTAACAGTAATAACGACTTTGCCAGGACAAGCAGTAATATACTACCTATACCAGTCAGTGTCTCAATATCTACATTTACGTACGTCTATTAGTCTACCTATCAGTCTATCTATCTCGTTTTATTCACCTCTGTTTTACTACCAATGAGTCTCACTATAACTCTCTATTTACCTACAAATGTGCACCGCGGCGTGTTATCTTTAGAAAAGGTGCCTCTGAATTGTGAGTAAAAGCTTGACTCTCCCATAATTTCGGCCTTGTGCCACATCTAAGCTACGCTTAGTAAATTACCTAATACTTTTAGACTAGCAATGAGTCCATGTTACTATTCATCTGTATTTAACTACCAATATCAGTCTACTTATCAGTCTATCTATCTTCATATATATGCGTATATTTAGCTCTCTTAGTGTTCGTATCAGTCCATCTCAAAATATCCGCTTATGTTTGCCTGCATCTCTCAGTCTACCTATCAGTCTATCTATCTCAATATATCCGATTATATGTATCTACATCTCTTAATCTACCTATCAGTCTATCTCAAAATATCCGACTATTTGTACCTATATCTCTTAGTCTATCTATCAGTCTATTTCAATACATCTGCCTATATGTCTCTCTCCCTTTTAGTCTGCCTATCAGTCTATCTATCGGAATATAATCGCAATTAACCTATCTCTCTTGGTCTACCCATCAGTCTATTTATCTCAATATATCCGACTGCGTATACCTAAATCTCTTAGTCTATCTAACAGTCTATCTCAATATATTCGCCTATATTTACCCATCTCTCTTGGTCTACCTCTCAGTCTATCTATCTCAACATATTCGACTATATTTACCTAAATCACTTAGTCTACCTATCAGTCCATCTGTCTCTATATACCTGACTATATTTATTTACATACCTCAGTCTATCTATCAGTCTATCTATCTCAATATACCTGACTATATTAATTTACATATCTCAGTCTATCTATCAGTCTATCTATCTCACTATATCCGACTATATGTATCTACATCTCTTAGTCCACTTAATAGTCTATCCATCTCAGTTTATACGCCTATATTTACCTACCTATCCTTGTGTATCTGTCAGCTTCTGTCTCAATCTATTCACGTTTATTTCTCTAGCTGTTTGAGAATGCCAATCAGTCTATTTAATTATATTTAGCAACCTCTCAGTATGCCTGTCAGCATATATAAATAGGTAAACATAGGCGAACGGATTCAGATAGACTGATAGGCTGGATGTGCGAGGTGAATAGGGTGAGTTACATTTTCTCATTCTATTTACCTAAATTTACCTTCCCAATTCAGTTCCAGTATAAGTCTATCTATCACTTCCGTCACCCTTTCTCCTTATCTATCTATCTATCTATCTATCTATCTATCTATCTATCCTTTTGTTCACCCTTCGTTTATTTTATCTATCTATCTATCTATCTATCTATCTATCTATCTATCACTTTCGTCACCATTTCTCCTTATCTATCTATCTATCTATCTATCTATCTATCTATCTATCTATCTATCTATCTCTATCACTATTTTACCCTTTCTCCTTATCTATCTATCTATCAATTTCGTCACCATTTTCCAATAATATATCTATCTATCTATCTATCTATCTAATTATATATCTATCTATCTATCTATCTATCTCTTCCGTCACTTTTCTATCTATCTATCTATCATTCTATCTATCTATCTATCTATCTATCTATCATCATCACTTCCGTCACCTTTCTCCTTATCTATCTATCTATCTATCTATCTATCTATCTATCTATCTATCTATCACGTGAACCCTTCCTTATTTATTCTATCATCTATCTCTATCTATCCATATCTATTGTTTTCAATTCTATCTACCTTTCTATCTATAGCTCTGCACCTATGCCTTCCTGTAGGCGCGACTATGAAATAGAAAGTCTTTTACACGCAGTCTGGCGGGCAATTTAATTTTTCGCACAGGAATTTTCTTTTGCCTTCCGCTTTTACCTAGAATTATAAGCTTTCTTTCCAATTTATTTTTGTATTGACAAGTCCACTTGAATCTTTGATCAATTAGAGAAAGAATTATTCTTGGCCTTTCATGATCTTTTTTTGCCCCGAAGATATCTCTTCGGTAATTTGACAAAATCAGGCAAAGAGCGGGAAAGAAAGAAAAGAAAAGAAAAGAAAGAAAAGAAAAGAAAAGAAAGAAATAAGACGTTCAGGGATGGAAGCAGGGAAAACACACGTTTTTTTGGTAAAATACTATAATATTACTGTGGGCAATATTTGGAGAAGAATGAAGATGGAGAGCCGTAGGAAAAGATGATGAAGCGAGTTACAGTGGGTTAGATAAAGAGACAAGATGGATGAAAGAGGGAGGTGAATTAAAAAAAATGACGAAAGAACAGAAAGAAATAATTAACGATTTTCGAAATGGAAGAGTCAGAATTAATGTCTGGGAGAAGAGAGAGAGAGAAAAAAAAAAGGGTTTCTTCGAAGACATTGCATCTTGCAGCTGTTGTTAAAACGATTACGTTGAAATTCGTCGAAGAAAGAAAATTGACAAATGCGTATGACTGTCATTAGATCGATTAAGATTCACTAGTAGATATGAATTTCCCTGTTGGGTTATGGCTATCGTGGTAAACGACCAGTTTCTTAATATTGTTTAGTGGGTTCGATTCTCGCTGATGATGTCGGCAAAAAACGATTCTCACGATTTTAGAAATGCATAACAAAGATGGTGAAATCATAAATTTATTCTATCTCGTTACACATCTATTTTTGAGTTAATAGCTGTAGAATTTTGGGTATTTAATCTTTGAAAATTCGAACGACATCTACCGGTATAGACTCTCACATCATGCGACATTTGTAGACCTAATTTTGAAAAACTAATTTTAAGGGGATCGAATCATACGCGAGCAATAAAATTAGCGTAAATACTGCTGACCCTGGCAACGTTGTTGACCAAACTGTATATCCATTTATTGTAGTAAAAATACAGCTATCTTTAAAATAAATATAATTTTGATAAAACTGATGTTTTACTTAATGGTATCCAATAATAATGCATCTAATATTCACATATTGGTATAGTATTATAAAATACAAACATAGCAGATATGCGTATTTTCCAGTGTTTACGTTTATAAGATGTTTAGCTGTTTCCCGTTTGTTTGTTTATGGCTGTACGCGTTTAAGCAACGAGTATAGCGTTACTAACAACACGTTTACCATTCGCTTTTTACTTTTTAACTTATTTCACTAGAAGATTGGATAAAGAGATAAAAGAAAAGAGGTTAGTCTCTTGTAATTTATTCTCTCAAAAAAGGAACTCGCATGATACACGAGATACATGATAAAAACATTTTTATAAGCAGAAATTTGGGGGTCGCGTGATACGTGAAATCGCCCGTTACACGAGTATATTCGACAATCTAATTGACAGCAGTGAATGGATGGATCTTGTGTACTATATAATGCTACTTGCGTCTTGGGAAGCTCATCTGGAAGCGATATGCCGAAGGAGATCAGAGAAAGGTTTTCATCCCAATTTCCCTTATGTCAGAATCTTTTTGCGTGGACGTACATTTACTTAAAAAGAACCAAGTAATGATTTAAGTTCGATAATCATCTTCAATTCTTTGTCGGCAGCAGCGAGCCGGACGATTATATTACGTGTACTGACAAGTCAAAAAGTACCGCTGTATTTAAAATAAACATAATTTAGATAAAATCGATGTTTTACTTAACTGTATCCAATAATAATGCATGTAACATTCACATATTAGTATCGTATTATAAAATCCAAACATAGCGAATATGCATCTTTTTCATTGTTTACGTTTATAAGATGTTTCTGGCATGGCTGTTTATGACTGTATGTGTTTACTCAACGAGTATAGCTTTACTAACGATATTTTTATCCTTCTCTTTTAGTTTTTTAACTGATTTAACTAGAATATGGGATAAGGCGATAGCGGGTTTTAGTCTATTGTAATTTGGTCTCTCAAAAAAAGAACTCGCATGATACACGCGATACATGATAAAACCATTTTTTTATAAGTTATAATTTAGGGTCGCACGATACGCGAGATCGCCCGTTACACGAGTATACACGGTGTACATTGCTGTTTGGTTGGTTGTTGGCGTGTAAATGTTCATCACGTATCAAACTTTTTTTGGTTATCTAATAACGAAATCAGTTAAGAATCTTCTTATACTTGATTCTATAAGCAATTAGATGAGAGAGATTTGCGTAACGGTCATTGGGAACAAAAGATAAATCAGTAAACCTTTTTTCAGGTTGAGATCGTTACATATTCAATTCTGCTTAGATACATATATTCCACACACACACACACACACATATATATATATATATATATATATATATATATATATATATATATATATATATATATATATATATATATATATATATATGTCACCTATAGACATCCGTTTGGCTGAAATATATAGGATCGAAACCCGTCCGATGAATGGCAGGGATGAAGGTGAATTTTAGACGAATTTATTTTTTTGATAGATACACCAGTTGACTAGGAGAACTCGATTCGTCTTGACGAAGAGTTTTGCACCAGCAGCGTTAATATTCATTGATTACAGAATCATTTTTCTCCCCAAGAGCTCAACCAATATATACATATATATATATATATATATATATATATATATGTTGTGTGTATTTAGGCAGCATATTTTCATTTATACACGTTTCATTAAATAATATAGACATGAGTTGTCTATTTATTTTATGTAAACTCTTTTCATAACGTAAGTTTAATAACATTATCGTTGAACGAAGAAAGAAATTCACAATATTGATCCATATTTTTTTTTATACAATCTAAGCTTTCGACTTACATAAGCCATTATCAATTGTGTGTATTTAGGCAGCATCTTTTCATTTATACACGTTTCATTAAGTAATATAGATATTTATTTAATGAAAAGTGTATAAATGAAAAGATGCTGCCTAAATACACACAGTTTAGATTACATGATCCAGCAGCCCACAATACGCTCAATACTTGGAATTACAAATGTACGTTTTAAGGTAAATTGAAATAGCAAAGGAAAAATTGAACAACCTTAACAGCAACAAAAAGGACATTTAATTGACATCTTTGGTAATGGCTTATGCAAGCCGAAAGCTTAGATTGTATTTAAAAAATATGGATCAATATTGGGAATTTCTTTTTTCATTCAATTATAATATTATTAAACTTATTAGACGTTATTTAAAGAGTTTACATAAAATAAATAGACAACACTTGTCTATATTATTTAATGAAACGTGTATAAATATATATATATATATATATATTTATATATATATATGTGTGTGTGTGTGTGTGTGTGAAAATGTATAGAAAATAGGTAAGAACTCGTTAAGTAGATAATCCTACAAATAGTAGACTTAGTAAAATCTTTGATAAAAACACTCTAAAATTAAGTTACAGTTGCACTGAAAATATAGAAAGTATAATATAAAACATAATAATAAAATCCTGAATAAACCCACATGCCAGAATATTATTAATAAAAACCCTACACTTAAATTAGACAAAAATAGTGAAAAAATATGGGATTGTAGAAACCCAGAAGATTGCCCATTGGAAAATATATGCCACGTAAAATCTGTGGTATACCATTGTACTATCTCATCCATTGGGAGTCCTAATACTAATATGATATACATTAGGTCTACGAAGAATTAATTTAAAACCAGGTGGAGAAAGCATGAGCTTTTCTTCAACAATATTAAGAAAAGAAATCAGACATCTCTATCTAAATATTTTTAAAATTTGAAGGAAAAGAATTAAACACCAAAAGTAAAATGAAATATTATAAACAAAACTAGAATTGTAAAACTTGGGATGACCCATGCCCTTTATGCCTACATGAAAAACTACACATTATCAAGTTTCTAAATAATGAAAATTTATTAAACAATAGACATGAGTTAACGGTTTTTTGCCGACATCATCAAATTTTCGCATTGAATAATTAGCATAAAAACAAACAAACAAAAAATAATAAAATAATTTTAAACCCCATAGTCTAAATAAATTTTAAACTCTATAAACCTTTAAAAGTCGTCAAAAAACAAATGTTAGAAACATATAATAATAAAACCCTTTCAATAATAAAAAAAAAAAAAAAAAATAAATAAATTTATAGACAGTTAACCAGACTAACGAAAATCAAAAAATTTAGAACCCCAACCTTACCCTGACTTGACCTCTTTGAATGTAACTTATTGAAACAAATTATTAACCCTTACGCCCCTTTTTTAAAACAATTGCTCTAGCCGTTAACATAGTAATTTTAATTTTAATAATGAATATGCTTATAAAAACGCGTAAATTTCAAGAGTAAGTTATTCCCAAAAAAATTTCGCTTGAAGATGGAACAGAGATTTGTACTTTAATTCAATTTAATTCAAATAATTATATTGAAGTTTTCGGCTCTTGTTTTGAAACATGAGAACTCTTATGTAGCGATGGAATCATATTTTTAAAATAAATAATTATATATATATATATATATATATATATATATATATATATATATATATATATATAAAAATGTGTGTGAGTGCATGTTTCTTGTGTGTGTGTGTTTTAAACAATAAAATAAATAAATTTTCAAATAACACTGGGTTGTATATTAATATTATTTTTTTTTTATTATTTCAATTAGGTTTATTTACTATTTCTGGAAAATTTTTTTTTCAGGAAAAAAAAATCCTTCTCTGCTTTTTAGTAGCACACAACTA